TGGTAGAGCTCTAGCCTTGAGCTGAAGAGCTGAGGGACAGCACCCAGGCCCAGAGTTCAGGCCCTACAACCGGACCCAAAAACAAAACAAAAAAAAAGAAAATCTAGTTGTATGTACACACATTGGGCCAAGCCTCCATCAGGTGGCTCTCTAAAGCGTATTCCCTCCAGCTTTAAACACATATAAGGATGATTCCAATGTTCTTTCTTTCTAGTAACCAATGTGTGAGTCTAGATTACTTTGTTTAATTGGATCTTATCATGCTGCTTCATATTTACTTGATTTTTCCCAACTGGTTATTGTTAATCAATGCTATACATTCTTTTTTTATTGTGAAAATACTGTACAGAGGGGTTACAATTACATGGGCAAGATAATGAGTACATTTCTTATCAAGCATTGTAGCCTCCTCCTTTGTTTCCCCTTCCCATCCCTTCCCATCCTCCCCCTGCCCCACCACCCAATCCTCCCCGTTCCCCCTCCCCTTCTTTCTTTCTTTCTTTCTTTCTTCTTTCTTTCTTTCTTTTTTTGTTGGTCGTGAGGCCTGAACTCTGGGCCTGGGTGCTGTCCTTAAGCTCTTCAGCTCAAGGCAAGTGTCCTACCATAATATTATGTCTGGTTTTCTGGTGGTTAATTGGAGATAAGAGTCTCACAGACTTTCCTGTCCTGGCTGGCTTTGAACAGAGATCCCTAGATGTCAGCCTCTTGAGTAGATAGGATTATAGGTGTGAGCCACATGTGTCCAGCTGCTTCTATTGATTTTAAATGAATGTGTGATCAGTTTAGTTACAACTACATTATCTGATGGTTTAATACCTATAGAATTTCCAACTAGCAAACTATGGATGGTAGAATCTAAAGAAAAATATGGGGTCTCAATGCTGACTAAAAATTGAAAACACTCATAGAAATGATAGAAGTTGAAAGAATCACATTAAAAGGTACAAGCTGTTTGGATTTTACAAGAAGATTTGGAAACAATTTTGCCCAAAGAGTTTATAGGAATTATGAACTCACCTAACTGAATAATTTATTCATGGAAGCATAAAGCAGCAGCAATAGAATGCAGATCTTGGAGTCTTTTTGACTTTGAGGTCTAAACAATGATAACATGCAATAAGGAAACAAGTGTTTTGTAAATATGAGTTTAATCAACCTGTCTTTATTTCACCTATGGACTAATTTCTGTATGTTGCATTAATGTAGTGCAAATTTAATATGTAATTTGGTAAATATTATGTCATATTTCTAAATCACTTAGATATTTTTAATGAAATTGATTAGAAAACTACTGCTAGCATGACCAAGACATTTTCAAAAGTGAGATTAAATAAATATGATATGAGCATGGCAAAAGTATACATACAACTAGACCAGAGAGGTAAATGACAAAACTGATCATAGTATACATAATACAGGAATGTTCTTGACAATGAACAGGGATTAAAAACACACATGCAAACTGAATCCATTGAGTGAGACGTGTTGTCCTCATGATTGACATGTCGAATTGAAACTCCTTAAAGATAGTAAGTAAATAAATAGTAAGTAAATACAAAGAATGAATCTTAAAATCTTCTGGTAACTTTTAAGAGCAATTTTGAATCAGTTGAGATTTTCATTTGTGCTAACCTGGGGCTTGAACTAAGGGCTTGGACACTGTCTCTGAGCAGTTTTTCTCAAGGCTAGTACTCTACCATGTAAGTCAAAGATTGACTTCTGGCTATTTTCCTCAAAACTCAACCTCCTAAGTTGCTAGGATGACAAGCCTTTGTCAAAGGCACCTGGCCGAAGAATTTTTTTTAATCAAATAGTGAACTTTGATATAAAAAAATATGGTAACTTCTGCACCTTGGGCATTCCTCATAATTGAGCACACATTATTGTATTATTCTCCTAATTCCTGCATACAATGAAGTCAAGATACATTTCTGGAACTAGATGTTATGGATAATATGTCTTGATGGTGAAAACTAAAGAAGAATTTTAGAAATATATTTGTTGGTTTCCATATAGTGTTTATTGATAGATATATAGATTCTGAGAGATTTTACCAAAGACTATGCTCACTCAATTTATAAAACAATGAAGTTAAACAATGGTTAAAACACTAAACCTAAACAAAACAGATATCCTTAGCTCTTAAATACTTTGATTTGAAAAATAGTCTTTGAAATCATTTTCTTGATTTTTATGAAGATTATCAGTGAAACTCATTAAATGCAAAACACATTTCGTTCATATATTTTCCAAATGCTAACTAGACTGCTTATCAATTTTATATTCCATCAAGAGGCTAACTGTAAATTTTAGCATGCTCAAGTCTATGAATTGCTACTGACCAAAGGAAATGAAAAGATCTTACCTGTCACATGCTCTGTAAACTTATGTATAATCTTGCTTAAAAAGAAATGTTACTTGCTTCCTTCAATATTGAAAATTTTGCAATGAATATGTATCACTTATTGATTTCCTCAAAGCATTTCAAGTCACGTAATGATACTTTCAAATATATTAAAATGTAAGAGAGAATTTCATGTTCCTATATTATGACTCTCATTGATGTCTGTCCTAGGAAAGATGTTAAAATATTTACCTATTATTAAATATTTCAGAACTTAAGGCAAGAAAAATGTTCTGTTCACACACCTTTACTAAAACTAATTTATTTCTTTGATTTCACAAAAAGTTTAAATTATATCTGTATATTAAACTTACTTTCTCAAACAGATGAAATTCAATTTGGGTCTAAAAGATTAAAAATGTTGGATATTTTAGATCTCAATACTCTACACTATGAATTTATATAAAAGGCCTGATAAGCAAATAACTCATACACTGAAATGAACACATACATTTCAGATTGTAGCCTTCTAGTAGCTTCATAGTCTTATTATTGTTTTAGTTTGGATTCTAAAGTCAACTTGTGATCCAGGGCAAATTTCCTACTAAGGAAGGTTCTAAAGATGTCTACTACCAGAGGAAGGTCTCTGTGATACACTCTATAATTAAAGACAAAGACATCATGCACGTCTACAAATATATTCCAAAATTAAAATCACTCATTTGTATAATACAATTTTAAAATATACAATAAATAATTTTCACTTTAGGAAACTGGTGGATAGCTCAGTGGCAAAAGACACGCTTAAAATTCACAAGGACTTGAACGTCATCTTTGACACCAAACAGACAAAACGATTACCCTTTTTCACTTCTTCAGGGAATAGAAAGAAGGGACTATACTCATGTTTGGAAAATTCTTATGAAGGAGAATTTGTATATTTCACATGCCAGTAATGTGTCAGGATGCAAATCAGAAATCATTTGCCACTTCTGAGCCTCCAAGATGTAATTCTATGAATCTATCAGAAAGAGGGACATTAAAAAATCATATTAAGTGAAGTAAGACAGACCCCAAAGAAACATAGGTTCCATAATGTCCCCCATTTGTAATAATTAGTATATGTCTAGGATAGTTCCAGCAGAGGTTCACCATAGCTCAATAGCTGTATGCATATGAACAGATAAAATGAACTACAAAATATGGAAACAAGAGGTTTGTTTTAAATTGTACTCTGTGAAGTTACTTCTTTTTTTCTTTCATTTTTTCCTTTGGTTTATTCCCTGTTGTCACTGTTTTTTATTTTGTCCCTGTGTCTTATATATATGTTTATCTGATTTGGGGAAAGAAGGGGGAATAACAAAATGGTGAGACCAAGGACAAAGGTGAACCAATGCAACAGCCATACTCATAAGACACTAGGTTGGAAATGAACTTTACTATTGGAGGGTAGGGGAGCCAGGGAGGGAAAATGGGAGAAAATGAGGCAGGGGTTAACACTGACAAGAAATGTACTCATTTTCTTACTTACATAACTAAACCCTCTGTACCTCATCTTTACAATAAAATAGAATATATATTTTTTAAAGAGAATACGATCAAATTATCAAAGACATGCTGGTGTAGACCAGAAGCCTCATCAGGGGTGAGGTTCAGAGTTTACGGTATCACCCAACCTGATGGTAAAAGAAGTCCTCTCTATAAATAGGCAGAAGCATTACAGTAGCTTTAAAATGACCCATCAGAACACATGAGACCATTCCATAGAAGGGATAGTAGAGGAAAAACAAAGGAGGAGGTAACAATGCTCAACAGGAAATGTACTTATTGCCTTCCTCATGTAACTGTAACCCCTCTGTACACTATTTTTACAATAAAAATATAAGTAAAGGAAAACTACAAGGAAGAAAACTTAAGTTACTTAGGTTACAGCCAGCACAGGGTAGAAGATAGATTGTTGTGAAGATGGGAACCACAAATATCGTATTTATAATCATATGATCCTATGGGACTAAGAAGAGGCTTAAACTTGGGCACATTTAAGTGTCTAAAACTATGCAATTAATCAAAATTTTTATACTATTCCGATCCTATATGTAGACATGTTGGTTCTTTTAACCAAATTTCCTTTTACTCATTGGAAAGTTGTGTCTTAGCTCTCCTGTTGAAGTCTCCTTGGTATGTGGTTTGATAAGAATGACCCTAGCCAGAGACCAATTGCTCATGTCTATAGTCTTAGCTACTCAGGAATCTCAGATCAAAGCCAGCCTAGACAGGCAAATCTGTAAGACAGTTACCTTCAATTATTAACAGGCAAGAGGCTAGAACTGGAGGTATGGCTCAAGTGGTACTGTGTCAGCCATGAGGGGAAAAAACAAAGAGAGTGTAAGACACTGAATTCAAGCCCCATTACTAGAAAAAAGTATCCTTTTCTAGCCCTAGAGTTGATGTGCCAATCAGAACATTCTATGTCCAGTCCCAACTATTAGATACAGTTTACTTGGCTCTTATAAGGCAAATACAGGCTTATGGAATGTATTTACTAGAATTGTTAGGCAATGTCAGGCCTCTGTGACCTTCTTGTGAACTACCTGGGTGATTCTGATCGACACCAACATGTCTTTGATAATTTGATATTCTCTTTTTTTTTTTACAGTTGAATTGTATTGTCAAGGTGATGTGCAGAGGGGTTACAGTTACAAACATAAGGTAATGAGTACATTTCTTGTTAAACAGTGTTACTCCCTCCCTCGTTTTCTCCCACTTTCCCTCCTCCTAACTCCCCTCCCCGTACAAGCTGTAAGGTTCATTTCTAACATAGTGTCTTGCAAGTATCACTGTTGTGTGGGTTCACCCTTTGTACTTTGTCTCACCATTTTGTCAATCCCCTTCCTTTCCCCAAATGAGAGGCAGTAGGGCAAAGGTAGCACAGTAGGACCGAGCCAAGCAGTAAGGGAAGGAAGTGATGGAATGGAGCAAGAGATGGTGTGGATGAGGTGGTCTCACTCATAGTCAAACCATTGAAAAAAGATGGTGAATACAATTGCTAGACATTTGCCAACACATCTGTTTTGATTTCAACAGTTTAGATTTTACTCCAATGATATATGAAGTAGCCTTCATCTATATCCATGAGTCTTGTAGGACAGTCCTCTTCATCTTCTGATTAATAAAGGTTGTGGCCTGTAGGTTCTTATTTCTTTCAATTTTTTGCTATATTTCTAAGACTTGTGTTTATTTGGTAAGCGCTCTACCACTGAGCCACCTTCCCAGCCCACTTGTGTTTATTTGGTTGTAAGATGATTAAATGTTTCTGGCCATAACGTCTTCAATATGAACTCCTTGGTATGTGTCTTTATCTACTTTGACCTCAAGCTCTATCTAATATTCTAATTCCTTTCCTTTTGTTTGCATTTTCCTATAATAACTTGGAACATCCTTTTTTGTATATTAAATTTGTTGAATCAAATTTTCATGAGACTCTCATAGACAGTGCACAAGACTGAGTTTCAAACTCACCATGGGATAAATGCTTGGAATCTCAGCACTTGGAAAACGTAGGAAATTTATGAGTTTGAGAACAGCCTGGGTTACAGAGCAAGATGGAAGCCACCTTTCACAATATAGAGACAGTACTTTAAAAACAAAAAAAAATCCTTGGGGCTGGGAAGGTGGCACAGTGGTAGAGCGCTTGCCTTGCATGCATGAGGTCCTGGGTTCGATTCCTCAGCACCACATAAGCAAAAAGAAAAAAACCGAAAGTGGCGCTGTGGCTCAACTGGTAGAGTGCTAGCCTTGAGCTGAAGAGCTGAGGGACAGCACCCAGGCCCAGAGTTCAGACCCCACAACTGGACCCCCCAAAAAAATCCACCAGAAAATAGTTAAGTTGTGTCATGTGATATAAGCTTGGAATGCATGTGGCTGTGTTTATATATTACATTATTCTATTTCCAATAACTTCCTTATCTTCTTATTGTCTTATTGTTGTTATTTTCTTCTTCTTTCTGATTTTTATTTGATCATGATTTAAGGTCTTTTTGAAATATTGTTGGATTCTGCTTGTTAACATTCCATTGAATATTTTTGCATGAATAATCAGACTCTGTGTCTATATATACATATATATAAATATATACATATATTATATATTATATTACTACCCCAAAATAATTAGAAAGCATTCCTTTCCTTCAACTTACCAGATGAGACTGTGAGAACTTTTTTTTTTTACCATCAGGTAGAAATCTCCAATGAAACTATTTAAATTTGGAGGTTCCTGAAACTTATAACAAATTTAATTTCCTGAAGCGCTCTAGGGTGTTGTACATTATCTAGTTGATATTGTATGAGTTTTAATAGAGTTTGTTTATTGATAAATCTGTTCATTTTTTTCAAATTTATGAGTGTCAGATTCATAATATTTTTATATTCTTTTTATATAGTCTACCATGATACTGCTTCATTTAATGCTATTAATTTATGTTCCTCTTACATTTTATCAATATTGTTAAAGGTTTCTCTACCTTTGTTATTAAAAGTTAGGGAGTTGACTAGACATACTAACAATTAAATATGTCTTACTCTATCTCTATTTCTTTTTCAGTTATATTGGTCAATTGTTACAAAGGGGCTGTAAGAAAGGCTTGGAACTTGCTTTGAACCTACCAGTGTATCAGATAGTCATACTTTTTTTTTTATTTTAGTACCCAAATAAGAATAGGAGAGTGAGTAGTGACCCCTTGAGACTGTTGAAGTTATTCATTGTCCTCAGAATCATGGATACATCAAGCAGTGCAAGAAGGTGAACCAACATTCCACATCTCTTCACCAAGTAAGTATGTGCAGTTAGGTAGACAAGGAAATAATGTACTTGTTAAATTACTGGATCTTTTATGGATTTTGTTCATTATAAATAAGTTTAGCATTCATTTTGAGTACAACATAAAATATATTTTATAGGTTAGTAATACTAGCTCTTCAGGAGGCTGAGATCTGAGGATCTTGGTTCAAAGCCAGCCCAGACAGGAAAATCCATCAGACTCTGATCTTCAATTAACCACCAAAAGCCAGAGGTAGAACTATAGCTAAGAGGGTGGATGCTAACTTTGACCAATAAAGCTCAAAGAGAGTGCCCAGACCCTGAATTCATACTCCAGGAACAACACAAATGTGTATACACACATATATACACATACATATGCACATATGTATGTGATTATATAGGTATATGTGTGTATTCTATTACATGAATGTTTTTCCAATGAAAATATAGGGTTTTTTGTTGTTGGTGGTGGTGGTCGTGGGGCCTGAACTCTGGGCCTAGGCGCTGTCCCACAGGTCTTCAGCTCAAGGCTATCAGCTCTTCAGCTCAAGGCTAGCACCCTATCACTTGAGCCACAGCACCACTTGCATCCTTTTCTGCTTATGTGTTGCTGAGGAATCGAACTCAGTGCCTCATGCACATGAGACAAGCATTCTACCACTAAGCCAACTTCCCAGCCCCCAAATACAGTTTTTATTGTGTAAACTCTATATATTCTCTAAGTAATTTAAATGTGTGGCAATTTCAAGGTAGCTGGCCTAATTAAAGACTTGTAGTTCTGCTAATTGCCCATGATATCATCTACTTAAAAGACATTAAAGTCTCTACTAGACAATAGCAGCATAAGAAATATTAATACAAAAAATCAGCAACTTCCTGTATACTAATAACAAACTTGCCATAAAGGAATTGCATTTATAAAAGACTCAAAATTAAAATGAAATACCCAGGGACAAACCTGAATGGGGAAAGGGAAATGAAACATTTCTACAATGAAAATTATAAGAAGTTACTAGAAGATGAAACTGCCTACCATATTTGTGGGTTGTCAAAATTAATATTTTGAAAAATGGATATATTACAGAAAGCAATCTACAGGTTCAAGGTAATCCTCCTCAAAATTTTAGTGATGTTTTCGCAGAACTAGATAAAATAATCTTAGAATTCAAAGAGGTACAAGCCGATGTAAGCTAAAAGAAAAACACTAGTGATATTGCAACACCTGACTTTATACTACATAGTCTCCCAGCAAAACAGCATGGTACAAGAACAAAAACAGACACATATACCAGTGAAAAATCATAGAAAATACAGAAACAAACCATTGCAAACCAGGCAGACACACATGATTCCTGACAAAAGTTGCAAAAACATAGGCTGGAGAAAAGACAGGCTACTAAATAAATGTGCTAGGACAATTGGATATCTACCAGACTGAAACTTGATCCTACTAGAGTAAAATATAAGAAAGATCTGTGAACCCTCTAGCCTCTTAGTATTGACACTTTATTCATATAGAGCAATTTGTTCACATTTTAAGAGTTTTGCCCAATACAGGTGGCCGATACATGTAATTGTCACTACACAGTAGACAAAGAGTTGGATGATAACAGTGTACAAGTTAAAGGCTAAGGGCCTGAGTTCAAGGCCCAAGTACTAGGGAAAAATAAGTTAAAGGGCTTTTTATTTTCATATAAAGTCATTAAGTAATGTCTATTTTTTCTATTCGTTTTAGAGATTGTAGCTGTAAAATCTGTCTACAATTCTGCATGATGTGAAAAATGAAAGTAATTATGATTACTAATGATGATTTAATTGTATAGTTAAATGTTTATTTCTAAATTTTTCATGCAAATAAGTGCATAATTAGGAAAACAAGTTACTTGGCCAGTTAATCAGGTTTCGTTTTAGTCTTGTTGTTTGGGCTAAAATGTACTCCAGGATGTCATCTGTGATTTGGAATATTAAAAAAAATGCTTAAGGGTGAGCCTTTAGAAAGCAATGTCCCTACATTGCCAAGCATGGAGTGGGATGTGTTTGATGGAAAGAAAAGCTTGGAAAACCTGAAACATGAGAAGAAATCAGAAGGAGAGACGATTTGAGGCGTAGAAGCTGTGTGTTCAGAGTGGCTAGCCAATTGAATACAAGTACTCTCCAGATCTGGGCTTGAAGAGTCTCTATATGATCGTCCATTCTGTTTGTCTGTCATATTGCTGGTTGAGCCATTTTCAGAGAAAAGCATCATAATCAGATGGCAATCCTGTGTACTGTCAGAGAGGAGGCAAGCCACCTCTCCATACACATGCTGAAATCATGAAAAAAAAAAAAGGTTAACCACTGAGATATGGGCATTTATCAGTGACAATATAAGCTCTACTCAAAAACCTATAGAGCAAGATCACTCTCACTCTAAAAAACTATGATAAAACTATGTTGTTACATATACCAGAATTCCCTGGTGTTTTCAGTTTCCGTGGATGTACTTTTGTGAAGCCAGATTGGTATCTGGCTGCACTAAAACAAATAGAATAAATTAAATTTGTAAGAAAAGATAGCTAGATAGGTAGGCAGGTAAGGCACTAGGCACTGTTTTATGAGTAATATTCACATTACAAAATGCTTAGCATAATGCAAGAAGTAAAATCAAGTTTTAGGAGGCTGAGGATATAATCATAATGCAAATACATGATGAAGTAAGTCATACATTAAAAATAAATTTCAATCGAGAAGCTATGAAGTTCACATTACATATGACTATAACACAATGCACTAAACAAACATACTGAAAATCTAGAGGTCTCTGAAAGAAAAGGGTATTTTATAAAATAGTAGTTAATTTAAAATTCAGACCTGAGAGTTTGAAGAATGCAAGTGAAGTTAAAAGATAATGAATTGTACCACATATAATTTTATTAGCTAAGGTCAGTAAAACTAGTAAACATACATGACTTATATAAGAGGGTTGCTGGGAAAGAGTAAAGGAAGGTCTGACATTGCTCAGGAAGAAATGTCCTCATTACCTGGCTTAGGAAATGGTAATCCCTCTGTACATCACCTTAGTGATAATTAAAATTAAAAATAAAACAGAAAGTAGAAATATTCATAAACAAAAACACTATTACATGCATTATGGGCCAACATTTTATTAAAATGAAAATAGCCCATGCATTGCTTAAGGGAATCTGGAATGAAATCTGAGGTCGGTGTGTTCTTTTCGTGTTATAAGGCATTGTTTACATGACTAGCAAACATCCCACTTACTTAGAATGAGGAGGAGGAAGCAGACAGGAGTGTTTATGCATTAGGCTCCCACCCCAGCCATACAAGGAGCCTCTTTCTACTTCACCTGGAAGTTCAGCTGGTGGAGGTACTGTTAGCTCTTCCACTCACCCAGGCCCCCTCAAGCTGGTGAGCCTTCTCTTGGTGCCCACCCACCCTAAGATGTGAACAGATGCCCAAATTCATGGCCTCCTTACAGCCCAAATCTCAGGAAGTAAAGAGAAGCCAGGCAGACTTAATGCCTCTTATTTTCAATGACAAAAGTTACTTAATAGAATTTAATATAGAGGTAGTGTCAATTGTTTTTTGGACAGCTTCTTTTTTTTTCCTTCCCAGATTGTCCCCACCCAGCACTTTCTTCTCAGAATATCCTCTGTGCCTCTATTTCTTTACAACGGAATAAAAGTGGATGCCTTATATTTTCATAGATATTAGAGGATGCTATATACATGCAAATCAAACAAAGCAGTTAATCCAAGTAAGTTCAGCTGAGGTAAACGCTACACACTATTTGGCTTAACGAAAGGCAACTAAGATTAAAGTAAGCCTTCAACTCGTTTAAATCTCTCCCCTAAGCAAATACTTTGCTGATTGCAGTATTCTCAGGGTATTTGATAAAACATTGCTCCATCCATAGAAAAGCAGACATTTGTGAAAGTAATTGCCAGAGATTTTATAGTAATTCATAATCACTATCTGGAACCTTAATGTAAACTTACATGCACATTTTTGGTGAGCTGTGTAATCTTATATTCCAAAATGGGGGGAAAAAAGCCGCCTTTTCAATATCTGAGAATGGGTCCACTAACTGGAAACAAATAAATCTTACTGCAAATACATGGACTTTTTATATTATAAACAAACTATAAATATTACTACTAAGGCATGGACTTTTTATATTAAAAATCAAACAAAGGAATTTTCCTATCTTATCTGCTTCTCTTTCTGACTGACTTTCACATACACATAGGTACAGGGACATTCTCTCTCTCTCTTTCTCTCTCTCTCTCTCTCTCTCTCTATCTCACACACACACACACACACACACACACACAGTACCTCAAACTCCCAATTAAGTGTGTTTTATCCTCTGGAACATTAATATTAGCTTCAGAAAAAGTATAGTCAACCCTTCTCCAAACAGAGTAGGTCTACATTTGTACTTTTTAAACTAGCTGCTAGAAGCTGCATCCCAAGCTTAATAAATTTATATTTCATTTTCAAATCATAGTCTCTAAAATCCCTTTGTATAAGACTCACATAGTTATTTACAGCTTCTGGTAAATGGAACACACACACACACACACACACACACACACACACACACACACACAACAATTTCTCTTTAATAGAAAGACAACCCCAACAGATGTATATAGCATATTAAAATTTGTCATAGAAATGCAGTGCATGAGAAAATGAACCAGTGCCCATGCTTACCACACATTACACGGCCTACTCTCTGGCTTCACAGTGGGATGAGACAGAGAAATACAAGTAAGTTCATGAAGCAGTCATGTGACCTTCTTACCCGCCAAGCAGTCTGGTCCAAAATAAGAAGCTATAAATTTCTTCCTCATTAAATACTTAGACATCTTCACAGAGAGATTTAATAGACAAGTCCTCTAAACCTTGTGTTTAAAAGTTAACCAGAGCTATCTCTCTAGAGTCCTCAGAACACATTTTCTGTCCAATATTTAACCACCTGTAAAACCAAAATTTTAATTTACAGAGAGGCAATTACAACTCATCTCCCAGTGTTTGGTTTGTATGTTCTTGCTTTTTGGTTACATTCTTATGCATTCTGCTAAACGTCCAAGGCCACACATGCCAGTTTTTAGAGATAGTTCTAGTTTCTAATAAGGCATATAAAATATAGTCAATTTGAAGTACATTTCTTCCCCAACTTGGTGAATAATGTGTTGGAATGTTTTCTTCAGAGCTTAGATTGAAGGGAACTTTCTTTCTCATATTTTTACAAGTTCTCCACCTCTATTCCTGCCTCTCTATCTCCAAGAAGACCACCGCCTCTCGTCACCTAGCCAGAGTAGATATCACAAGGCAAACATTTATAGTCCAGGAAATGCCCAGGAAAAAATGTGTTAATCAGAAGTCTAACCTCCAATTATCACTAGGACAAAAGCCCAAATTTTCGAACAATTCTTCCAAAAAGGGATTTGTTCTTCATTTTTGTAGGTACTCCTAACTCATAGCTATATGCTTTTCAGTGCAAACTATTTCTTTCCTGTGAGAAATACACCTGTATGAGTATTGCAGCATTGTTGTCATTAATTGCTTTACCACCCATTTTCTTCTCAGAGATGTCAGTGAGATGTGGGTCTGGGAACAGCCACAAATCCCTCAATATTTTTAAGCCTTGCCTGCAGGCTGATGGCAGTCTCTTAAGCTGCCCCTGATTCATTCTCCATCACTCACCAGAATACAGAGGGCTGCTGTGACCACTACAAAAGGTTGGTCTTCTCCTGCAGAGATTGATCTCAGCTAGCCAAGATTTTACTTTCATTTCTAATAGCAGAGTTTAGAGTCTTATTTTTCCCCTCAATCGCAACAACCCTGTAAGTCGTATCTTTACACCCTTCTGTACATCACTCCGATCCATCCTAATATAAAAATGCATTATTAATATCTACCTTTAATGTATTTGTTTGCTCAACAGTTTGGGAAACAAACAAAAAGACCTTCATCTGGCTTATATATACCCTCTACTATTGCTTGTTTCTTCCATCTTGCCTAGTCCTCCATATACCCACTTTGCTGTAGCTATATTGTATTTGTGCTAATACTAGGACTTGAACGAAGGTTCTAATACTCTCTCTTGGCTTTATTCCCCTTAAAGCTATTGCTCTACCACTTGTGTCACACTTTTAAGCATGTTTTGTGTTTGTTGGTTGGCTTACTTTGTTGTTTTTTTTTTTTTTTTTGCTGGCTAACTGAAGAGTCTCACAGACTTTTCTGCTGGGCTAGCTTTGAATCTTGATACTCAGATCTCAGCTTTTGGAATAGCTAGGGCTGTGGATGTGAGCCTCCAGCACCTGGCTTCTTATTCCCTTATGTAGTTCCACTAAATAAAATGAGGAAGATCTTTGTCCCATTAATGTAGAAAGTTGCTTCAGGGAAGCACTGTGGTTTCACTCAGGTAAATGTCACTCTGAGCTCTTCCATAATCTGCCCTAAGTTTAAATCCACGCTGGCTGTCCCTAGCTGCACTGCGCATACCTCGTACACAATGATTTCGCTTTTCTGAGGAGGAGGCTATAAGGACATTGCATCTACCCCTTTTTCAAATCTTTTAATTCAAAGGAATTTTGAGAGGAGGCAGGGTTCTAAGAGTGAAGTACCTTTTTCAGCTATAATGATAGATGATGTGTGAAAATATGTCACAAAAAGAATAAAAGAATACAATTTGGTTCATGTTTGCTTCTTCTACAGATGCTCATATCTCCTCTCTGTGTCTGTGTCTGTCTATCTGTCTCTCTCTCTCTCTCTATGTCTCTGTCTCTCTGTCTCTCTCTCTCTCCCTCTGTCCTGGGGTTGGAACTAGCTTTGTGTTTGCTAGGCAGGTGCTCAACCACTTGAGCTATGCTCTCAGACCTGTTCAATTATTTTTTAGATATAGGCTCATACTTTCTTCCTGAGTCAGCCCTGAAACACCATACTTCCACCTTCACCTCCCAGATAGCTAGGATTAGAGACAAGAATAATCATGACAGACTGGTTCATTAAGATAGTATTCTGCTGTTTTTGCACAGATTAACTTCAAACAAAAATTCTCTCATTTCTGCCTCTAGGCACTTCTGATTACAAGCATGCTCCATAGCACACTTATTTCCTCTTTTAATGACATTGTAGTCAGAGAAGTTTGATTAATTTACAACAGTTTGAAGTATTAATTTCTTTATAGTAGTGTAGTATGGCT